TCTTCTTCTGCTTCTTCAGGAAAAACTAATTTCTTCTCGCCGCAATCTATGAGAATGCGATTGGTAGCCTACCAATCCATTCCTAAAATCACTTCTAACTCCTTTAGAGGTAAACAGATTAGGTTGACCTTATATCTACGCCCCTCGACCTCTATAGGACATCTAACACAAACGGTAGACGTCCTAACCTCACCAGCCGCTGGGGTTGACACCACCAAGTCGAACTGCATCTCACTCTCTGTCAATCCCAGTTTTTCAACGCACGCCTTCGAGATGAAGGAGTGGGTCGCCCCCGAATCATACAATACACAGCAAGGCTTTCCAAACAATAAGCAAGTGCTGATGATGAGTGTACCTGAGCTGGCTGCCTCAGCGCCCGTGATTGCGTACACTCGCCCAACCGCCTGCGCTCGTCCACCCCGACCTTGTTGAACTCTTCCAGCATTTGGCGGCCTCATTGCCGCTCGTCCTCCCATATTACACTCGTTCTCCAGGTGACCGTTTCTTCTACAGCGAGTGCAATATTTCCCTCCTACCAACTGAGGGCATGATGACTTGTAGTGAGGCCTCCCACACTGAAAACATTTGACTACCCCATGCTGCCCAAACTGTCCGGCAACAACCATAGCTTGAGTGTGAAGCCCATTAGAATTCTAATGAAAAATGGTCTAGGAGAGAGGAGGTGTGTTTCATAAATAGGGGATGTAACTAGAATTTTCATTGATAATGTTATGTGCTAATCACACCTACTTTCTATTATTAACTTATAACCATATATAATAACATTTACCTATTTTATACAAATTATATATTTTTATTTTATCCTTAATTGTATTTAAAAGTTAAAAAATACAAATCACGAAACTAATTATATACGCTTAATATAACTACATCAGTATATTCCAAACTCATCTCCATTTTATTTTTTTGTAGGAAAATCTTCATTGAATACATATATATTTATTCGATTTTTTTTTAATTACTATGAAGATAAATATTTTAATTAATTTTGTAATTTTTTTTCTTTGTACATCTTTTCTTATCTTTTTAATTATTTGATTTGTTTGATATTCACAAAATTCAAAATACAATTTTCCTTATCATAACCTTATTATAATTTTTTTTTTGTGATACGTTCAAATTTTTATAAATTAAATAGTTTTCAAGTTTAACACGAGAATGTTTGATATCTTAATTTCAAGTATCTAAAATTAAATCCTTTATTTACTATATAATATAAATATATTTATTTCTTAATTATCTTTAATTTTCTTTCATTTGGTTTTGCTCTAATAATTTTTATTATCTTTCAAGTTTAACTATTTGATATTTGAAAAGTTTTTTTTATATTTTTTAACTTATCAAAATCTTAATTATAAATTTTCTTTCTTTATGTAATTTCATGTATTGGTATATTAAATTATTTTTAGAGATGAATTTAATATTTTTTTATTCTTTTTAATAATTTTATTTGGTGTTTTTTTATCATATATAATATTGTTTTAATAATATTTTATATAACTACTTTTATTTTGTAACTTATTCTCAAATATAATTATATTATCGCAGTTATATAAAAAAATTTAATTTACTATAATATAATAATATAATGTTATTATCATGAGGATGAAATATTTATTTCTAAATTCAAAAATTGATTAGTTTAATTTTTTTATATTAGATTTCATTTAAGTAGTTTATTAACGTATGAAAAAATATTTCATTAGAAAGAAAAAAAAGTAAACATTTGAAATACATTTGAATTTGAATATTTTTTTCTTTTTAAAATTTTTAAACAATATTTTTAATTTTATCAATTTTGTTTCATTAATGTTTTCAAAATTTATGGATATCTTGGTTGTTGTGAAATTTTATTGATGTATTATTGTGTATATATATAAATATATTTTTCATTTTTAACCAATTGATTATTTGATACTTTGATTTCAAATTTATAAAATCTTCATTTCTTTATAAATATTTGACATTAAATAAATCTTTTTGATATTAAAAATTTGATAATATCATAATTTTGTGTGTAATTTTTTTAAAAATTAATTAATTAATATTAAAATAGTAAGAAAGTAGGTATGAATACATGTTTACCCATTATTTAATAAGAATGAAGATGAAACACAAATTTTATACTAGAATAGTATAAATTTTTATTTCGAGATTAAAGATAAAATGCAAAAAAACTCGTCCCCCCCACAATTCCTAATATTAAGTTACAAATCACCTAATATTATTTTTATGCAATAATTACTTTTCTATTTTCTGAAAAAGTATAATAAGTTTTTTTGTACTATATTTTTAATGAAAAAAACTTCAGAATAAATGTTAACATTGTTCCTTTAATAACAAATATGTTATTATGTTACTTTATATGCGTAAATTTTGCTGTGAGATTGGATGTATTTTTACATTAAAAAGTATTGAATAAGAGTGAATGAAATGTTTAAAAGATCCAAATTCTAAATTCATGATTCTCCCAACTACGGTTTTCAATGTCCCAGTTCGTAGTATATAAATATAAAGATATAATATGAACATATAGTGGAATTTATGAAAGAACACCAATAGACATTACACTTTTCATCCTATATATTAATTTCCTTTCTCTCGATGTATATCAAGTATTAAATTACAAGTTTTTTTTTGTGTGTGCTGAAGAATTAATAATTTTTCGGTAGATTAATAATACTTTGATTTCATTTTATAAATATCTATTATACACATTTTTTTCTCACATCAACCATAAATGTTAGTTATATTTTTTTTAAATGTGGGATTAAAATGGGTTGAAACTCGTAAGCAAACTTAGCCTACCACAAGTTCGGATTGAGTTAGATTGAAAAAAAAAATTAAAATTTTGATACGAGTTAATTTTAAGCTTGACCCACTAAGAACTTAATTCACCCGGTTGTACTTATAGTGAGGAGAGGTTGGCTCGTCAATCCACTTAATTTTGTTTTTTGTGTTTTGTTTTATATTATATTTGGAGTTTAAGATGATTTTTTTATTGTATTTGGATTGTATTATTATTTTTTATTTTATTATATTTAAAATTTAACATTATTTTGGATAGAAATTTAATTAGATTTGAATTAGAAAAAATTTGTTATTTTCTTTTAATTAAAAAAAATTGTTATTTAGTGATTAAGTAAGACAATCCATTTAACCTAACCCGTAGTGAGTCAGGATCGAATTCAAATATTTTTGACTTGTTAATAAGTGAACTGAATTAGATTGACTTACTAAGTGACTAATTCGTAGTGAACTGAGTCAGATTGAACTGGATAACCAGTTTTGAGAACACTGAAACTTATATTAAATCATTATAAAACTTTTTATTATGCATGAAAAATTTTCCATTTGTTTATAAAATAATATAAATGAAAAGAATTAGAGTTTTATGAAAAAAGAAAGAAGAAAGAAAGTGATGTGATGTGTGGAGAGGCAGTGAGAGAAAAACTAAATGGGTGAATAATTAGGTAAAGGAGGATGATTATGGCACATCTATGTCAGTTGGGTTGGCGAAAGAAGAAAAGATGAAAAACTTTTATGCAGTGGAATAGGAAGACTAGGGTTCAATAATAGGGTCATAGTTACCTATTTTTGTTTCCTATAAGCCAACTCTATACAGAAAATTAGGGTTAGGCTCTGATCTTGACCTACACACACTCTCTCTCGTTTAGTCTTAGCATGTAGATTGGTCCCCCACACCTTCTATTACCCTTTTTCATTTCCATTATTATGCTAAGTTTTTCAATATTAGCAACCTTCACTCATCCTTACCTAACTGTGCTCCCCAATTTATTAACACTAACATTTCAACCATCAAATCTTACCCTACTTTTCTTTTTAATACTATTCTTCCATTTTCACATTAATCATGGTTATTGTCTGCTAATCATCTTTCATAATTATCATGCTTTATCACCATTCATCATTGTCTTTTCTTTCATGTATATATATATGTATATAAACACAACCTCATCGTTATATAATTATAAAACATTTTCAACTTTTTTTATTTTAGGTGAGTTTTTATTTTCTTCATATAACAAGTTTCACTTTTCATAGTAATGTTTGCTTGTTGTGGGTATGGAGCTCACATGTCAGATATGAGATCATATGATTAATCTTTTCTAGGTTAGGTTTTTATAATAATAACTTTTGTTTGAGTCAAGTTCCCCGTAAGTAAGTTACCATTTCCTAACTTTGTATAATTGTTTTAAGTACTTTCTATTATTTATAATTGGTATGATTTGGAAATACATATTATTAAATTATTGTGGGAGAAAAAATTATTTTAATAGAAATTCAATGAAGGATGGAGAATTTGAGACGCTTGTGTAGATTTAATTACAAACACCAGGGTAAAGTAGTTCTTTTTACGTTAATTATTTGGACTAAATTACATCAATCAAAATAACAAGTGAGTTAAAAAAATGAAAAAAAAGTTAGATGTTTTATATTAATTAACGTAAGAATTAATGTAAAAAGTACATTACATGTTCATTCTTACCTTAGACGACATAAAAAATTTCATTTTTTAAAACAAACTTAGTTTTTGATATCAATCCAGAACCTCTAAATGTAATACATAATTTACACAGTTAGACAATTTGAACCACTAATTGTTTATTTTAACCTAAAGTACTAAATATATCAAACTATCTAAATTATTTAACAAAAAAAAAGCCTAAATAAGTTGAAGAAGATGAATTTTCCATTGTCATTGTATATGCAACATACTTGAAATAACTTAAACATATGAAGTATATTAACACTCTGATCAAAATAAATATTAATCTTATTTTAATATATAAGTGTATACTACCTCAGTTTATAAATTAGTAATATCATTAGTAATGATCCTCATATAGTACAAGATGTAATAGTTACATTCAAATGAATTTTCTAGTCTATTATCTCAAACTTTACAACTATAGTTATTAGTGTATACATTAAAAAGATCACTAAACTTAGGAAAAATGCATTGCAATGATCTTGTTATACTCATTTCCACTTAATATGTTGGTACCAAATAATCTAACGAAGGAAATGCACATGTAAATACATCTTTAACCTATTATTGCTGACATTGTAGAGATATTATCAATGTTTGCCAATGCCTTATGACGAACATCTTTGTTCACATCAAAGTGTTCATCATTAGTCGAGAAGTTGAAAATGAGTGTGGCTTGGCGAAGAGCTTTCTTGAAGCCTTCTTCAAGTTCAAATACCACCAGCTTTTGACATTCGATCAACTCTTTGACCACCCTCTCACAAGCTTTTTTTTTCTTCATCAATAGTCTTCTTGGCTTTCTTCAGCATCACTTTAGTCTCCAAATAACTTTAAATTTTCTTTGTATTTATGTGCATTATATCGGCACATGTTACCTAGAGTATTTCAAAATTTCAAGACTCTTATTTGAATTATATCGTGTGTGAGCAGTAATGTACTATATATATCTAAGACAATCTCAACATATATGTTGAAAAAAATGAATTATTTAGAAGTATTATAATCTTATTAGACTCTTTATAAACTATTTACTTTTTGTTGAGATATTTTATATAATGATACATAATTTCTGTTTTCTTGTATTTTTGCTTA